TCCACACCCATCAAAATAAGATGGTCTTTTCTACCAAATTTCTTCTACCATTTTGACTGGAAAAGGCAGGCAGGTTCACATGAACCCCTTAGCTAACAGACTGGAAGGCTGGTATCTCCACCAGAGGAGAAGTGATGAATAGCTCCAGATGGCCTGCAGGAGGTAATCTTTTTTCATGATATAGCTGCAGCCAGGGCATGTGGACACAGCTTAAGACCAAAATCCAGAAAATACAGATCTTTCTGTAAAATGTGTATGTTAATAACTTGTATACTTTATATTACCTCTTGAAGATAGAGAAAAGTCAGACACCTAGTGACATGCATCAAAGCTGCTGTCTGAGATGAATTACAAAGGCAATGTTCTTCTATTTCCTTGACACATTCACATGTATAGAGTAGCAATATTTTACGCACCTTGCAGCTTGAGGCAAAATCATACCTGAGAGTTGTTAACAGCAAGGATTTATCCCACTTTACATTTCATCCTAACTTTTAAAGCCGAGATGATTATAACCTGTTATTCTATGTTCTTAAAACTGCAGATTGTGTCAAACATAACTTAAAGAAAACCCAAGAATTTTGCCATGAAGAAAACATGGTACATTCTATTTTATGACAATAAATCAAAATCCTTGAATTTAATTTTTATCTTTGTTCTGGATAATCCATTTGTTTCCAAAGATTGTGTGATCTCTGGGCTCGAGAAAAAAATACTGTACAGGTATGCGTGAATAATTTCCTTGCTTTTCTTTATGCCAACTTTCTAAGATTTATTACAGTAAAACTGGAGCAAAGCATTTCCAGGGTCAGAAACAGGATGTAGGCTATGTCTACATTAGCAAGTAATTCAGAGCAAAAGGAGCAGACAAACAGACTGAAGCAGCTGGTGCTGAGGTCCCTGCAGCTATACGACACATCTGTTGTTTTACTTTGGACTAGGTCTAGTCCAGTTGAGTTGATGACCCCACTGTACACTGATGACCCCCATGGTTCTAAGTGAAGTGATGAATCATTGGTTCACATCCTTTTAAGAGCTGGTGAGCATTTACTCTATACCTGAAGCAGAACTTTTGGGTTAAATTCTTCAAAGTAAAATCTAGTACGCATGCATGAAAACAGCATCAACAAATGGTAAGGGGATATACTGGAGGGATTCACTTCGAAATTACACTGCTGCTTGAAATCAAATGTAGGTTTACTCCACTCTAGTAATAGACAGTTTTATCCAGTCTGCTCATTAAAGCTTGGAGAAGACATCTGACAGCAGAGAGAATACAGCACCAGTCAAATGATTTACACACAGATTTGAATGAACCACCAAGCAGATATGTTTCAGTATTGGTAATTCTGTACTGTTGTAGCCATTGCAACCAAGAATTTGTTTTTTCTCCCTCAGGAATGGAGAAATAACCTTAAACTATTCTAAGGAATAGTTAGTGTGACAGTTGGGCAGATTAACCTGTATGAATGAAAAATGCAGTACTGATTCTCTTTAGAGAAATCTCCCCATTTCAAATACAAATTAGCCTGAGGACCACAGCCATTGGGAAACAGATTGATGAAATGGGAGATGTGACAAATTACTTCAAAGGTCTTCTAATGGGGAATGCTGTAGAAATCGAACCAAATTCCAAGTATATGATTTATTAACTTGCAAGACAGCGATGATGATGGCTGTTGGTGTTTAATGTTGGGATACAAACAAAATTTTTCTTTTCTGTAACATGTTCTTCAGTAAGTCTTTACTTATCTTCTTATAAGCTCATTCATTATCAGTCTCCCATAGATACCTAGATTGTTTTTCATTGGTTTAGCAACAAAACCAATTCAATCTGTGGACTTTGCTTCAGGTAGCAAAGTAAGTCTACTTGCTGACTTCTCTTTCAGGGTCTACTTCATGAAAGTATTCACTATGAATGCCTGTGCCCAGTAAGGAGGCTGGTGCTTTAACAGTCGTCTTCTGTGAGACAGAGTCATTTATAAATTTTAATATAGGTTAATAATGTCCAGGAGTCTTTTCAGCTTTTTCAGCAAGAAAAGTGAGAGAAGTGGGAAAAGAAAGACATATAAGATGTACAAGAGGAACTATGCAAGCTTGTATCTTGTGTTTGCACACACAGAGACACTGCAAAACATTTATATTTACTGGTTTGAGATGAAGAAAAGGACATACTTTAGAATTAACCTGAAATGAGTGTAATATTCTTAACCTAACTTCTTCCTACATGACGTAACAGTTGGTGTTCATCTTCTGAACATGCAGTATATATAAAAATAAGAACACCTCAGGACTCCCTGGTTTATAGCTTGTTGTTTCCAGAATGGATGGAGTACAAGGCCTCTTCAAAGCTCATCATCAAGTACAAGGAATTAAAAACTGTCTAGTCACTGTACTAACAATCAGTCAATTTCTTCTTCTGAATAAAGGTACTCCAGACTGCCAAAATCCAGTCTTAAGCTTAAAAACACTTCTATTTGAAATCTCTGCATAAATGACCTTAAAAGATCTGTAATGCCAACCATCCCTCTTAGTCTGTTTTGTGTGGATGGGTCAGTCTCCTCTAGGCAACAATTCCGGCTCTTCTTGAGGTGAAATCCATTCACTTTAATAAAACCTAGAGAAGGAGGTTACTAGTCTTTTCTCAAACCATTATCTATAACATCTGAAATTATTATTATTATTTATGAATTCTTCTTGCAAACTAAAATTAGATAGAGATTGACTTACCTGATGCACACAGTCTAAGAACTGTAAGAAAACAGGAGCAAATCCACTACCCTGACAATTGAGAGTCAGATTACTACGTTGACTGAATTTATGGCCAAAAGAGAGCCATTCTTTTTCCACCAGCATTCGGAAGCCTTCAAGTGTCCTATAGAAAGGATCACTGAGTAACTGCACCAGAGATACTACCTAGATCGCAAGACAGGATATATTGTGTTAAGAGTGACAGAAGTTAGGAGAACACTTTAGTTAATGAATATAAATATTCTATAATCTGTTCATACTTCAAGGAACCAAAACCCTTCATATAAACTCAACTACAAGTATTTTACCACATACATTATGTATTTGTATAAAACAAACCAAATAATATCTCACATGAAAAAGCTTCAATTAAATTGAGACTTTACAATATCTGTAAAAGTCAAACCTGAGCAACTATAGACTTTGGAAGTCATTATAATGCTTACCCCATTTAAATTACATTTGAAATAAAACCGCTCTTATTAATAAAATAAGGATAATAAACATTTATAAAATAGTATCGGCTATTTCAGCAAAGAAAGTGTTAAAGAATTGGTCCTGAGGGTGACTTCAGAGTTTCTGCAGTGTTGCCATGCTATGCTGCTCACCAGCCAACTTCAGCCTGGTTTTATAGACAGCATCTCGGGAGACTTTAAAATGCAGCACAGACTTCTTTCACTTCCAGCTGCGTATGCCCCTTTCTCTATTCTTCATTGTTTGGGTTTGTTTACCTGATATCAGGATGCTGGCTGCACATGAAGTTTCTATTTACTAGAATTACCGGTATCTGAGTTTATCTTCTAAATTATGAAGCAACTACAGGGACACAATGCAGCCATTAAATGAGGCAGCGGGTCTTCATTCACCTAATTTATAGTTTGTTTCAGAAAGTTATCTGTTGTGGTCATCTGTCCTTGCAGCAGGTGTTACAGTCACTTTGGCACAAATTTAGTTTTCTCCGCGTGTGTGGTCTCCTAATTTCATTTATGGAAAGTGAATGGCAAGAGAAAGAATTCCTCTCCTTCCCTTCTGCGTTTAAACTGTACTATGTTTACAAAGGTAAATGAACAGTTGTTGCAACTTTCAGATTTCATTCTTACTTATGGTCATGTGCAGAAATGCAGCTTTTATATCTAAGCCTTAGAACTGTAAGTCCATCAGGACCTTTGTAACAAATTCATTTTAAGAAACTCTTTCATGGTGTAAGTTGCAAATGAATGCAAAGATTCATGCATTCTAGTTTCTTCTCTGCTGCCACAACACAAATTTATTAATGTTATACCAAATTATCAGTCACTTGTGTAAAAAAGTATTGCCTGGTGTTGTTTCTTAATATTTAGCTATTTCAAGGTTTTAACAGTAGCTTACTTGTGCAGTAATATCCCAGCCATCTTCCAAACAAACCATAACAGAAGAACCATTTTCCAGGAGCTCAGAGATGATCACACCCAATTGCATTATCCTGTGAAGCTATAAAGTATTACAAATAAGTAACATGCTCAGGTATAAGATATTATCAATAAATAGAATCTTTTCATATTTAATATTAAAATATGTATTCTGAAATCTATATATAGTGCAGAGAAATGCATTGATGCAACAAATTAGGAAGCTATAAAATGTAACAGTCTCAGGATTTTCATCTGAACTACAATGAAACTAAGCAAGGATTTGAAGATAGGAACTTAAACTATTAAAACCAGTGAGTACTGTAATAAAATAGCTGTCATAAAAAGGAGAATGGGAACAATACAGCTGACAGATTTATTGCAGAGAAATTCCATCCTGGGCTTAACGCTAAAATAATTTCCTGTGAAATATTAAGGTTCCATAAAGTCACTAAATACTTTGACGGGATATTTACAAGATAATATTTCTAATGCTCAATCCCATGGAAGTTGGAAATTAATAAATTGAATAATAACAACAACAACAACAAACCACAAACCTAAAAACAAACACAGAAAAATCCTATTCCTATAATCTGGAAATGGTTTAGATAGATTAAACAGTATTTCTTATACTTGGCCAGACTGGCTAAAACATATGGAAAGAGGACACATTAATAATTTGCAATCTAATATTCATTATGTAGTGATACTAAAATTCCTTGAGCAGGTGGGTTAGTTAATTTCTCTGGGAAGGGTTATTGACTTGAATGAGATTGATTCAAACATCATAGGTATAAGCAGGTTAAAAAATTTAGATGAGTTTGAGCAATTTTATCTTACTATGAGACTTCACATTATTATTACTAAAAGGAAAATCTGTATGATGTTTCTACCATTTTTGTCATATTGTGACAGCATTCTTGGTAAACAACATACTAGACAATATGTAAGCAATTCAGTTTTTTACAGGAGAATGAAACTGCTGTTTGCAGAGCACTGAATACAATCCAACCAATAGCAGCAGTAGGAAAGATGAAAGCCTGAAAGAAGGGAGAAAGCGGTATAGGAAAACAAATAAACAAAGGATGGCAAGAGACATCTAAGATCATTTACGCAAGGAAAAAGTAAGTCCAGAAAGTACAGAAGGCACAGGAAAGTGACTCAGGGAGAGCAAATTAAACTGGAGAAAATAAGAAGAAAAAAGATAAACCAAACAACAGTTAAACCCTAGAAAATTCATCCTTGTTTAGGGCAGTCTGATTTTTTCCTCTCAAAAAACCCGCAATCCTATGAATATTACCACGGAAATTGTGATGGAAAACACTTAACTCCTCTGAACATTCACATAGCCATTACTTAGAAAATAAAAGAAACTAATTTTCCTGCAATTTTTAACAGGAAAAGATTGAAAAGAGCACCACTTTTTAAACCAAGAAGTTTGTTTATTGTTCTATACATTCTTAGGCAGTAGAATAGAAGAAAGGCTGGTTTTTGCCATCCTTAATGAAGAAACTCATATGTGATCTGGTTATACAGATTCAATATAAAAAATGCAAAATACTATTTTTATAATTTGTATTCAGAAGATAGGGCAGCACTTCAAATTTCTTCTTATGTATTCACATCCTTATAAAGAAATATTTAGCCTATACAGCGTTAAAATCAATACCGTGCAACTTCCATTGCCCAGAAGAGGAAAGCTTAATACAAGAAAAACACAGTTCTGAGATGACAGATCTATGTTCTTGCACAGGAATAGTAGAAAATGTGTCAAATCAGTCATAAATTAACTTTATCACGTAAGTCACATAAGGCATGATTTAAACTACAGAAATGTGGTTTAAATGTCACACAGGAATGACCAGCTCCTATGCTCTCTAAGGAGTGATCACACCTCAAGGGAAGAAGTTAAGCCACTCCTTGCACTGCAGCACATTTCAACCAGGAGTATGTTTTCTGATGCATAATTACTGAAATGACCGTTACATGTGTTTCCTCCTTAAGAAATCAGCATAAAAGTCTACACTGTTTTCTATGATTAATTGCATTTGAGAAGAATATATTCAGCAGAGGATTCCAAACATAACACGCAACTGTTAAAAAACCATTCACTATAATTAAAATGGGTTTAGATTTACAACGAGCTGACTTCCCCACATCCTTCTTAATTTGAATTTTGCGAAGTTACTTCCAGTCTTGCCTTCATTTGGTTAATCTTTAAGTAAAGGAACAGATTAACACATACACAATCCCCTCTTGCCTGCAAATACTTCCCCATATGCTGCAACAGATAACAGATACTAGCTTATTTGTTAAATACTTGTGCATATGAAAATTCAGGGTGGGAACACATATGAAGAGTAGAATGTCGGTTTTAAAATCAAAAGACTCATTTATTATTCTATACTTTGATTTTTAAAATATATAAATAAGAAAAAGTGGTTAAAACCAAGACCATAAATTTATATAGGCAGAAAAAACAGTCAACTCTACTTGTGTACATGTTCCCTGTTATAAACCATAAATTATGTTATTAAAAATGCCTCCCACATTTGTAAATGTTATGATTGTATTAAAATAATAATGCTTATGTAATGACAGAATTGATAGTATGCAAAATAATTACAATGAACAAAGAAGAACAGCTGGTTAGAACACAATAGTTCTCTGTCAGAAGAGCCTGAAATTTATTTTGTGTAAGCAGTACTGCATATAGATTATTAGAAGTACCTGTCATATAAATTACCTGTGGGAACCACTCTGACTCCCCAAGTGCTTTAAGGAATGTTGCCTCAGAATCTGTAGGAATAGTGCTGGGAACACATGCTCTCATCAGCTTTTTAAAGCTTGCCTTTGTCTGTCGGATGTCACTGAATTCAACAGGAACAAATTCACAATTCAAAGCAAAATCAAGTTTGAATCCCTGTATGAAAAGGACAACAGCAGATGTAATTTAAAAGGGAAGCAGGTTTTTCACGGAGAGTCTCATCAAATCTCAAAGTCTTGCCTGCTTTATTGCTAAATATTTCAATTCCTAATTAAAAATCTGTTTAGTTAAGCACCTGCTCAGGATAATAAAAAAACTTTACAACACTTGCAAAATGTATCATAATAAAGTACCCATAATAATAATAATGATAGTAATAATAGTAGTAAAACCCCTAAAGTTGAATGATAAATCTGTTGAGTTCTTCATACTCAACATAATGTGCTTCCTTTAGGATTTTTAAACCAAATTAACAATAAATAAATAAAAATTAAAATAACTGTATGGATGACATACCAACAGTGCAGGACAGATTCTAGTAGTTCAATAAAGCAGAAAAAAAGTGACCCCCAAATCCAAAAAGAACCCCTAAAACTGCAAACTAGCTGACTTAGATAAGTGGTCATTGCACATTGAGACAGTTGTTTGTCTAAAGTACCTAGTTCAACACAGAAGAGCAGTCAGGGAATACCTGATATAATTTCCAAGAGGTATGTGAGTTTTTCGTAGCAGAATTCTTCATGGTTTTTTTTACTTACTGCATTTAGAAAATGAACAATAAGAGAGGAGGACTGAATTAAGGGATCAAGTTAGCTAACTGAAAAAAAAAAGAACTATGATGAGAAGGATAATATGGAGGATAGTATTAGGAAAATAATGCATATGAAGCATCACTGAAGATCTTCACAGCAAACTTTTTCAGTTTTCCTCAGAAATTGCTCTTTCATGGAATTAAACTCGGCCTGCAAATAATCTTTATTAAGCTGCTTCATAGGATGCCAAGCGAAAATGTAGGAAAGTGAAAGCCCAGATTTAGCTCTGTTTATATTTTGGCATGGTTCAAAACCAAATGCAACAGCTCAACTAGCAAACTGGCTTTTTTAGAAAGCTGACTTGTAATAATGTATGATAAAAGCAATTGAGAGAAGTAGCACAATTTCCTTAAAATGTTATATATTTCTGTTTGTATCATCAATTTATGTGACATGATATTCAGCAGAATAAAGCAGGTCCTTAGAGGAATCAACACCAGTAATGCATGCTCTGCCAAGCCCTTTACAAAGCCAGCAAATTCCAAGGTAGCAGGATGCTAACAAAAGGTAGGAAAATACTTCACAATCAAAAATCAACAAGATTTCTTTATACAAAAACAAAAATTGAATTGATCTTATACACTAGATACAAATCAAGGAGGGAAGGTTTGAAACAATCCCTTAATCACCATGTAATTTTATTCTTACATTTGCTAACACAATACACTTTTCCTTAGAAATGCCCAGAGATTACTCATCTTCTGCAAAATTGTATTATTAAACAAAACAAAAAAGTGAAAAACCCATAAGCTCTAAACCAGCAAGGAAATCATCCAGTGTAATCTAATGATCCTTGAAGTATTGATTTTTAGACAATTTCCAAGTTATATACATCCTACTGGACTTCAGCCTATTTCATGCTGATTTTGTCCAATGCTTGTTGTTTGTACATCCAATAGTCAGCTCTTTTAATATTCTGCACAATAATAGACATCTGTATGGTAATATATTAAAAGTGCTTTAATCTATACCAAGCACTAACATTATCCCCTAGTTTGTGACTGCTGATACAACTTCCATTTTTTGCCCAAGTGGTCTAAAGGGTCACTTCAAAGCAGCAGACTAAAGATGTTTCTACCACATATCTTTAGATGCGCAACTGAACTCTTCACTTACCATTCATTAAGATATTAAACAAATAAAAACACGAATAATTGTTACTATTAGATTATGGCAATTTAATTCTATGTAATCGTTTCTCTTGCATTACTCTTCTGTATTCCTTTTCATTGAAGTGTCTCCTTTGCCAGAGCCTTCTGGGGGTTACTGTTACAAAAGATGACTTAACAAGATGAAAAATTGATATGAACAGACCTGTTTGAAAACTTCAGGAAGAATGTTCTCCAGCAAAGCAAATGAAAATGCCAACTCAATAAAACTGAAAAATTTTGCAGGAAAATAAACAGTTTTGTTACTGTTTAAAAGAACAGTTTGTTCTAATAATCATAAATTATGTTTACTTTGAAAATTTCTGTTTAGTCTTTTATGCTATATTCTTATGCTTTATTTTATTAAATCAGAAGACTTTGATTATAGCCTTAACAGGATAATTCTGCAAATTATTGTTATGCTAAACGTATTAGAAAGCGATAGAATGTCAAATGAAATCCAACTAATTAAAAATTCCTATTTTGTGTACCAATGTGTAATGAAGAAACCAAAAGAAAAATGAATTTGCAAAGCAATTATAAAAGACAAAGTAAAAATGGAGTAAGAACTAATACCTGTTATATAGCTGTAATTTAAAAATATAACTGAAAATACGAATAAGATATAAAAAAAAATTGAAATTACAAAAGAAAAGTCAAAATAGAAACAAAATTTGCAAAGAATTTTGATTCATCATTCTGATACAGCATGATTCTTCCATCTCCTGATATAACATAATTTCAGAAAGAATTGAATACTTACGTATTTTCCTACTACCAATAACTGCTTTTGGAAGTCACATATTTCAAAAAGTACATAACACTTTATGTATGATCACATTTCGAATAAGAAAGTAGAGAACAACTGATTTTTCAATCTTTGAATGCAGAGATTAAAAAGAAATAATATGCAAACATTTTCTGAAAAAAAGTAAAGCTACCAAGAATTAATATAGAAGATACCTGTTTCTTAAACAACTGCATCTAAAATATTAAAATCTATCCAAAAAGGTGTATGAAACTGTAGACATCATGGTCCTCTTGATGTAATCAAATCAGGACGGACAGACTTCTGGGTTGGCCTTATTCACATCAATTTAGCTTCACTTGAGTTTAAGTGCTGCCCACAGTATTGAAGGTTTTCTTCTCTGGTAATCACTTTCCTGACTAACAACATCCCATTTGCTTCATAACATATTTCAACACATCAGGGAAAATAAAACTGCACTTTAAACTACCAAATAAGTCTGTTTCATGTTTCCCAAAACAGAAATCGCTGAGATGATGACTCAGCTGAGCGTCAGATGAGCAGTCAGAGTACAGTAGTATGTATTTAGGTGTAATTAAGTGTGGCTCTGAAAGCAGGAACTTACAGATACAGAACTCCAGCACTTCCCTTGGAATAGCTCTGAAAGGGGCAGCAAGCCCCACTGCTGCTACACCAGCCCCACTTGATTTGCTTACAGCCCCACCATTCATCTGCGTCCCAGCAGCTGCACTGAGCAGAGCCAAACTCTGCTGCCCTTGCTCCCTGCAAAGCCAGTGCAGGGAGACAGCAAAGACTAAATGACTTCCGAATATGAAGGCTTTGCTGGATGCTCTGTTGCCTAGCAATGTATTTCCTTCCTAGCCATGTCTTTCCCAATTTGAATGCTCTTCCCTTGTACAAAAGCTATTCCATTCCTCTAGTCATCTGTTACCAATCTCTGTATCTCTTAGCTCTACTACATATCAGCATTTGACCAAAAGTGACAAATAGGGCTCTACTCACAGAACTTTTCTGAGTTTGAGCCTGATCTTCAACTAATCTTTAAGATAATTTAGTATATTTTAATTTATATTAACTTTGTTGTATTATACAACCACAGAGCTCGATTTTCACACACCTACCCCAGCCCCCACGAAGTTATACAGCATTAATTGTTATTCTGTGTATAGGAATAATCCTCATAAGAGTTTACACCTTTAGGAGAGTTATCCATCCACTTGATCTAGAATATTATTTACTATTTTGTAAAAACATTAGGGTTATTAAACTCAAGCCAAATAAAAACTGTGTTATCATTAAAAAAAAATTGCCATTACCCGTAACTGAGATTTTTCTCCAAATATATAGAGGGCTGCTTGCCGTCTCAAGAGCTGACTTTGTAGAAAACTGCTGCTACTGTAGGAAGTGGTGTTATCTTTCCCTGCAAGTCTTGCACCAACATCAATAAATGGAGTCTGAGTGTTGATAAATCGGTTGCTTGAACGAAGACTTGCCCATACACCTTCATAAAGATGAAAAATATTTAAAATCCTCTTTGCGTGAGGCACTGGAGATCGGAATTATTAAGGCATATGCTAAAACATAATTTGGAAAGTAGAATGCTTAAACACGTCATTTGCATCCCTCATAGGACATAATTAACAGCACGTACTGGAAAGAAATATTTTCATAACAAAAACTGTCAAAAGCATCCTACTACATTGTCATCTAACCTAAGGTAATCAAACTCTGCACAGTGCTTTCTGTTGTAGAGAAAATGGTTGCTATGATATCAGTAATACAACGATAAAGTGATTCACAACTTACAAGTAATTAATGTCCATTTAAGTTTATGGAAATGAAATTGCTAGTGTTGATCTTTTCAGAAGTAGGGACAAAAATTTGATGTAGCTCCTTGTCAAAGGCATATTATTTTGGAAGTCTAACTAGTAAGAATATTATATAATTATTTTCTTCAAAAACAGAAATAGTATCAGTTAACATTCCCTGTTACCTAGAATTCTTGTGTTCCTTTCACCCTACACAATGTAATAGAATCAACCATATCGTATTATAATGAAAATGTATATAAGGATGATCAATTCAAATATTACATTTCAGGATAAAGTATTCCATATTTACTCTTGAAATGGCATGATTAAAATGCAGAATGCCATGAATTTTAGTTTTTAATTGTCCATGTCTAAGGGACAATTAGAAATGACAATGAATTTAAGGAAGTTCTTTTTTTAATCATGTGTTTCATGACTATATTCTAGCAGATGTGACTACAGTACAGTTGTGTGAGTAGAGAGAAGGGTGCCTAGAAGATCACAGTCTTACAGTTTTAATCTGGCAGTAATATTACCATTACTCTGGCAGCAGGCCATGGTACAGAAATCCCAAAGCTAGCAAGAACATGAGCTTGAAACAGTGCAGTGTGACGTGGAACCATGGACTTGCATCTGAAAGCAGCACAGCAATATTTGAATGGCATCATACCAACCTAATAACCTCTGCCTCTCAACAGCATTTTTAGTTTGCATATTGTGCCTTGCTGATGCAGCTATACTGTCATTTCCAGAGGAGGGAATTCCTACAGCACACAGACATTCTCTGATCTGATCGTGCTTAAGTATGTTCTGTGATTTCAACATAAGATAAAGCAGTGATAAACCAGACTGCCAAGGCCTATTTAGCACCAGCAGAAGGAAAGACAAGTAGTAAATATTTTTCTGTTTCTTGTGCCTTAGTTAATAACAATGATTTTTTGAGACTGTTTTTGTGTGTCCAATGTGAGGTATGTGAAAGGTACTTGATTTTCAGAATATAAATAGCGCTACTTGAAAATCAAATGCCTTAAAGTATACTAAATTTGGCATTCAAATGGCAGCGTGAAATTCTTTAACCCAATATGCAGTAAATCAGATTATCAGAAGAGACTCTTGTCCATAAATCTGTGAAGCACGATATCCAAAAGAGGCACCAGAAATACCTCGTAGTAGTAGCAATTTGGATATACAGTACCAAAAAAACCCTCCAACCCTTTCAGTAAAATCCAATAATATGCATAGTTAACATTTCTTGCATCAGAGACAAAAGCTGCAGCTAACAGTAAAATTCCACTGAGATAGCTCAACCAGCAAAATAATTTTATTCTTTTTTTCAGAAGCAGGATTATGTTTCTATTAAAGAATAATTCTGTACAGTAATCCTCAACAGGGACTTGTCTGTACAGTTTAGCTTGTCTGCCTGTCTGGCTGCTAGTCTTAGATGTGAGCAAACGAATAGGAGTAACTGACAATGGTTGGCTAGGAACTTATGAATTGGTAACAGTGCTAAACAGTCTCCATTTCAAAGAGAGTCAGTTTTGTAAAATACCTCACATAATAAAGTAGTATGTTTAGTATAAACTTCTGTTCCACATCTGAACAGATGAAATAATAAAGACCTTAGCAAGCAGAAATCACAGCAAGTATTTAATAAGGAAATAATTTCTTGCTCATTTGGTACGAAAAAAATGCTAGCTCCAACACAGACAACTGTCCCCAAAGATGATATATACAAAAATGCACAGTCACACTTTCTAACATTTTACAAATGCAGGCCATCATTAGTGCCTGTAGGACATCAAAAGCAACAAAACTGGCTACAAATACATGCAGATGAACATGTTTACCAGTGATGGATAACAGTGATTACAAGACACAATTATATTTCTATTATATTTCTATTCTAATTTTGCGAAGTATTTTTTGCCTTATTTTTTGTCAGCAGTATCTAGCTTTCATTATTTGGCATATATTGTATTATTATGACTTTTTAATTTGACAGAAATCAATTTTTCCCTGTTCACTAACGTTAATTTTGGAAAGAAAGTTCATTGACTAGGTAACAGTATGTCTTAGCTATTTTACTAAAGCAGTAGGAGTACTAAATGCTCTTTTGTAGAATTAATTTTCTGCTATTTAAAATTTTCACACCGCAAATTTTCTACATATCACTCCGCATTAGATCATAATATTATTAAAGAATAACATGGTGAAGTGTGTGGCTAATCACTGCACTGCATCACACATTCAATGGCCAAAAAAACCCAAGCCAAAACAAAACCACAACAGTGAACTAAAAAAACCAAAATTTTGTTAATACAGAATGAAGGCTTTCTGTCAGTACCACTTTAGCACATATTAAGACACTGCAGTAGTTATGGAGATGGTAGAAAAGAATGTGCTTTCAGGACACAGAATACAGTACCTTGATGGACTCTTCCCTTAGTTGCTGATTTGGAATTTGAATGAGTGAAACATTTATCTCTGTACCCAAGCACTGGTAGATAACAGTTAAGACAGAAGAAGGAGGAATGGAATGCACATTGCAGCGAGACACATTGCCGGGGAAAAGAAAAGGGTTACTTATTAATTTCCAGAGATCTAGTATATATTGAATTTCTTTATAGTACATGTTTTATCAGACAGCACAAATTTTAGTCATCACAAGACAAAACATCAATCAAGCTAGAAAACCAATATAAAATGGGAAGGAAGTACCCATTTATCAAAAAGGCGTAATTTTCATTGTCACTGCAATAGTTTCAAACATGTAGCACAGCCATCATGTGTTTTTCCATAATTATAATACCAAAGGAAATGTAATGATTAAATCATTCTGCTGAATACTTTATTGAAAGCTTCTAGCCAGCTGAAAGTTAGCTTAATTAAAAATCCCAAACCTTAGTGCTTTTTTTAAAAACTGTTTTAGTCTATTTTAAGTACATAATTTGATGGACCTCAAAATCAAATCAGAATGCAAGATGTTAGTTCTATACACCTACAAAGATTCTTAAAGGACTGTGTAAAAGTATATAATTTAGAAAACATGTACTACATATCACACAAAGAGATTTCCTCCCCCCATGCAAAAATTCTCATTTTCAGTGGGAGCCTTATATGCTTATCAGAGGGTGTATTTTTTGGCTCAAAACCCACATCAACGTAAGCAACTTCTTTTAATACAAATATTCTGTTAAAACATACTCAAAGTATTAAAGACTCCTGTTTTTAAAATAAATGTCTGAATTGAGTCTGTATTTATTAATTATAAATATCCTAGTATTTTTCCAACAGCAGAAAATCAGACTGAGAAAGCATTTATTCTACTAAATTACACAACAATGCCAGGTAAGAAGTGCTGTTCTGTAGAACCACACTATACTTACAAAGTAATATAAGAAGAAAAGGTATGTATTTTGAGTGAACTTACAATTCTTATGAAAGGTATCAACAAAGCTATTGCCAAAAACAAAGGTACAAGAATGAAAACCTATTATGAAATATAAGTATTTGGCCAAATATTTCAGATCAGAAACAACTTAACTGGGCTTTAGGCAACTAATTTGTTACAATGTTCCAGATAAAGTAAAAAACCGTGCCTAGTGCGGACACAAATATTCAGGACAATTGATAAATATGCAGAATAATGATGATTTTTAAAAATGAGAAATACTATTCAAGCACTGTTACATCTTTTTGAACTTAGATTTTAAATGGATGTGTATTAAAAATACATAGTCTGGCACAAAAAATAGAAATCGTGATTTTCAATTGGTGTATCATAGCTGAACCTGGCTTTTGAGGCCTGGTACGTGTGAGAATAAAAACAAGGAAAGAAAGAGGGATCCAGAATCAAAACCACAAAAATACAGCTATTGTACTTCGTACAGTGTAGTGCATAATCCATAGCTGCTTGCTATGATAAAGTAACTAGCTAACCCCATTGCCTTTTTTTTTTTTTCTTTTTCTTTGTTTGCTTTTTGAGTTAATCTTAGGAATATGAAGGAGAGAGAAATCACCATTTTTACACTGCCTGCATAAAATAAGTCTTTTTTTTTCAGCTGACCAAAAACCTGTATTTTTGGTCCTGCATACAGTCTTGTGACACTACTTCACATGTAAAATATAGGTAGCTGTGAAAAAGTAGTAAAAAACTTTGCAATAATAAATCATGTGAATCAACTTATTTGAGAACAACAATTTTAGAGATTCTATATACTTTGTGTGTTTTATTAGAGTTTCTTCTAAAAGAATTCCGTTAGCTAATCTAAAAACCCTGGTGTTTACTTCTCTACAGGGATATATTCCCTTTCCCTGTTCTCTCTTACCCTGTCAACTTCTCACCTTCACCAGGGCTCCCACTGTACTTGTCAAACATTCTTACGTTTCAGCAAAGTCCTCATGTATCCTGCTGA